CCTGTAGTCCCAGCTACTTGGGAGGCGGAAGCAGGAGAATTGCTTGAGCCCAGGAGTTGGAGGTTGCTGTGAGCTGTGATGGCACAGCACTCTACCCAGGCTGTGGGTAGCAGGGTGACAGCTTGAGGCTCTGTCTCAAAAAAAAAAAAAATAATAATAATAATAATTCTTGCAACACTGCAAACTAATATGGCCCTTTGGAAAAAAGTATGAAGAATCCTCAAAGAGCTAAAAGTAGACCTTCCATTTGATCCTGCAATCCCTTTACTACATTTCTACCCAGAAGACAAAAAAGTCATTTTATCATAAGGACATTTGCACTCAAATGTTTATTGCAGCTCAGTTCACAATCATAAGGATGTGGAAACATTGCAAATGTCTATCAACACACAAACGGATTAATAAATTGTGGTATATGTATACCATAGAATAGTATTCAGTCATAAAAAAGATGGAAGCTTTGCATCTTTTATATTTACATGGATGGATTTGAAGAACATTCTCCTAAGTAAAGTATCTCAAGAAGGGAAAATCAAGCATCTCATATACTCAATACTAAGCTGAAACTAGTAAATTAACAACTATAGGCCCATATGAGAGAAAAACACAATTAAATTCAAGAAGAGGGGGTCTATTAAGTTTCCACCTAACAGGTATAATGTAGGGATATATGGTACACTTCCTGGTGAAGACTCAACTTCAACTTGGACTTTACCATATGAACATAAACAATGTAACCTAGCTATATGTAACCTCATATTAATTTGAAATAAAATTAATTAATTGAAAAGACTTTTTGCAACAGTCCTAAACCTATGAAGAAGTGTGGGGCTACAAAATAAATAGCTTCATTCTTCTCTCTTTTATTCTAACCATTTCCAACCACCCTGTATTTTGTTCCACATAATCCAAATTACTCCTAATTTTGCCCATAACCTTCCTGTTTACTTTCCAAGTTTTCCTCTCTCAAACTTGGCATATATCAAATCATATTTCCAAAAGAAGACTAATAATTTTATAAAAAATTTTTACCTGGGGTGGGGGCAAGTGGTACATAGGAAGATGAGAAGACAAAAATTATAACTCATTAAACTAAATTAACTGAAAACCACTATATCATACCATCCTGGGTATGTGACTTTCTATTAGTAATTTCATTTTAGGAAATCCTCCAGAGAAATCTAAAGCCCTAATAAAGCAAGACAGTCAACCAATGATAAAGGCAATTCTGACCACATTGCCAGGCTATGTTCACTTATAAATCACATAAGCCCTTACCTTGGCTGCCTTAAGTAACATTTCTCTTTCTTCTAAATCCTTTCTCTGTTTCTCCAATTGATCCAGCTTTTCAAGAAATTTGAGCTGTGACCTGGTATCACTACACAGGATGTAATTTTCACTTGCCTGGGAGGAAAAAAAAAGAAATGTCTTAAAATGATACTGGGCAACATATTCTACATAAGCATTGTTTAAAAACTGCTAAAAAATAACACATAAATAGACAGCTAAATTTTCAGAATATTTTTGCTTCTGTTAAACAAACTTACTACTAAAAAAAGGAACTTTAATCTTCCTTAAAATTTGAGAAATAATTACCCATTTATATTTCTTTTCTTTTCTTTTTTTTTTTTTTTTAGAGACAGCAACTCACTTTGTTGCCCTTATTAGTGTGTCATGAAGTCACAGCTCACAGCAACCTCTGGGCTAAGGCGATTCTCTTGCCTCAGCCTCCCGAGTAGCTGGGACTACAGGTATCCGCCACAACACCCGGCTATTTTTTTGTTGCAGTTTAGCCGGGACTGGGTTTGAACCTGCCACCCTGGGTATATGGAGCCAGTGCCCAACTCGCTGAGCCACAGCGCCACTCCTATTTATGTTTCAAAGAGCTTTCCTAATGAACTCCATTTAGAAGGGGGAAAAAGGTATTAAGCCAAGCAGATCCGAACAATAGGAAATAGAAAGAAAGAAGATAGCCATTTACCTATAAACTAAATCTTTTTAGTTAAATTACAGTTTACCTCAGCAGACCTTAATATTAGTAACTAAACTGTGCAAGACAAAAAGAAACAATCACCTCACTGAAAAGTATACCAATGACAAAAGTTATTACCCTGGTTACCCTGGTTGGTTACCTAGTTACCATCAGTTTAACCTTGCAATGAATACAACTTCTATCAAAATACAGTGTAAGACAAGACAGATCTAAAATCCTAAAACCCTGTTTTGAAGATTCCCTTAAGGTATAAATTTGGACAGAAACTGTGGACAAAAAAATTAAGCACATAAGTTATAAATGAGAGCTGTAACAGTGGAAGTATGATTATTTATCTCAACTGCTCCATAAAATGATAAAGTTCAGTAGATACCTCAAAGAACCTCAGTCAACCTACCATTTGATCCAGCAATCCCACTACTAGCTGCTTATGCAAAGGAAAAAAAGACATTTTATAAAAGACACCTGCACTTGCATGTTTCCAGCAGCACAATTCACAATTGCAAAGATGTAGAAACAATCCAAGTGCCCATCAATACATGAATGGATTAATAAGATGTGGTATACGTATATCATGAAATACTACTAAGCCATTAAAAAAAAAGTGACCTAGTATCTTTTGTAATAAGCAGGATGGAACTGGAGAATATTCTCCTAAGTATCACAAAATGGGAAAACAAACACTGCAGGTACTCAATACTAAACTGGTACTACTTAATCAACACTTATGTGCACATATGGAAGCAAAACTCAATGCAATTCAAGTAGGCGTGGGGGGGGATGGGTAAATTCACACCTAATAGGTACTTTCTGGGTGAGGGGCACACTTTTAATTTTCACCTAAAATACATAAAAGCAAATCATGTAACCAAAATATACGTACCCTCATAATATTCTAAAAATTTTTTAAAGTGATAAAATTCAAATTGTTCCATTTATTCTGCTATTCTAGACTGCAAAATAGTGCTTTTCAACCAAAATACTTCCTAACTTTCTTTGCGTACATGATCACCCCTTTCTCTTCTGTATCCATATAAAAGTGTGTGTGCTAGAGGTCAGGAGGGAGGATACCTTCCTGGTCAGTAATTACAACATCCTACCATCTCCTCATCTCCATGATTCATATACCCTGAGGAGACTACAGAGCAAGAAAGCTGAACCTTTTAAAACAGTTGCTTCAACTGTGCCTTGCCTGAAAATTATGGGCATAATAGTACCACTCCCATTTCTGTTTTATCCCCATACTTATGGCTGATTCAATTAAGGAGACTGAGAGATTTCATATGTCCAAGATTCTTTTTAAATTAAATTTTTATTGTTGGTATTTAACTAGATCAAAAGAGTATTACATAGTTTAAGGAATAAGGATGTATTAGTGCTACTTATTATACTTCATGTTTAATACAAAAAGAATTCCTAATGTTTTTAAGGTTAAATAGCACAAGATAGAATATGGAATATATTATAGGCTAACCACAGGTTAAACAAAATAACAAGCAGTATTTTAAATACTTCATCTTTACCATTTTTGTGTTCAGACACTCTGGAGATAGTTTACTGACAGGATTTAATTTAAAAGGGACAACAAAAACTAAACTTAAAAGGGGCACAGACTTTCTAAATTTTAACCCAACCATATTCCCATGCTAAGATTTCTTCCCTATAACTTGGATACAATTGCATCTGACATAATCTTTATTAAAAGGATTTTTTTCTATAAAATTTGGATTTAGACAAAAGGCTGCATTCCAGGATCCAGAAGGCCACATGTAGCCCCAAGCCCACAGGTTTACCACTCCAATAAAGGCAGAGGCTGGCAGAATGGATAAAAAACATAATCAGACTATATGCTCTCTGCACTTCAGATAAAACCATACCAATAGGTTGAAAGTAAAAAAATGAAAAAAGATATTTCATGCAAACAATATTTGAAAGTTAAGTACAAGTGGTAATATTAATTAATATCAAAGAAGACAGGTCTAAAACTCTTCAAAGAGATAAACAAAGGCATTATATATTGATAAAAGGATCAATCCATCAAGAATAAATACATACCACACTTCTCAAATATAGGAGACCCTCTGTAAGTTGACCACCCAAGGGACTGTACCAAACTGGTCAACATGAGGAACAAGGCCTATTGTACTGACAGGTACGTGTGCATGTCTGGTGTGTGAAAATTAGGTCAAGTTAAGGAAGTAAGGTGGTCAATGTGGAGGTTCTATTGTACATGAAGAAAACAAACACAGACAGAATTACTTTTTAAAAATAGCTCTATAATAGTTGGAGATTTTTAATACTCACTTTCAATAAAAGTTGATTATCTAGACAGATGATCAATAAGGAAATAAAAGACTTAACACTATAAACCTACTATATCTAACTGACATGTATGGACATGAGACCAAACACAAGCAGAATATACACTCCTCTCAAGTGCACATGGAACATTCTCTAGGATAGATTATATGTTAGGTCAAAAAACAAGTCTCAATAAAGTTTAAATGACTGCATCATATAAAGTATCTTCTCTGAACAAAATGAAGCTAGAGGTAAAACTAGAAAATTCATAAATAAGCAGAAATTAACAACACTCTTAAACAACCAATGGGCCACAAAATCTCAAACGAAATTAGGAAATACTTAAGACAAATGAAAATAAAAACACAACATACCAAAACTAATAAAATGCAGTGAAAGCTGTGCTCAGAGGGAAATTTATAGCAGTAAATGCTTGCATCAGAAAAGGAAGATCTCAAATCAACACCCAAACTTTACACTTTGGAACTAAAAACAGGAAAGCAAACTAAACTGAAAGCTAGCAGAAGGAAGAAAATAATAAAGAATAGAACAGGCCAGGTATGGTGGCTTACACCTGTAATCCCAGCACTTTAGGAGTCTGAGGTCGAAAGATCCCTTGAGGCCAGAAGTTCTAGGCTGCAATGAGCCACTATATTCCAGCCTGGGCAACAGAATGAGACCCTGTCTCTTAAAAAGTAAATAAATAAAAATTTTAAAAGATTAGAGTGAATATAAATGAAACTGAACAGAAAAATGGAGAACTTTAATGAAACCAAAAATTGGTTCTTTGAAAAAAATCAACAGAACTGACAAACCATTAGAGCTAGACTGACAATGTAAATTACTAAGGTCAGAAATGAAAGGAGGATCATTACTAATGATCTTACGGAAATAAAAAAGATTATAAGAAAATATTACAAAGTGTTTTATGACAACGAATCAGATAATCTAGGAGAAATGGGAAAATTCTTAGAAACACACAAAAATAGATGCTGATGTTAATTTTTTTTCAACAGTCTTTTCTCCTGTTGTCTGTATTATCTTTATGTCAGTCCAGCATATTCTCACAAAGATTTTTCAAATGAAGACCTAAGCAATTATATATAGTTTTTCCACAGTTCTAAAGAAGTAGAAAGGAGAGGAAATCGAATGACTCCTCTGGAGAATGTATCAGTAGTATGGTAGCAGATATTTTCCTGGATCTCTTTTAATCTATGGCTAGGATACCATAGGGCAGCGACCACTCTTACAAACTCAAAATCTCAAAATCTCTCTAAGGTTAACTACATACCATCTTGTTCAAAATCTAGCTATCAATGATTCTTCATAAAAAGAAAAAGGGTTACTTTACTTAGGGGTATCTTATTTTTTTTTTCATTCCAGGTTATCTTTAGATCTATCTATCTATCTATCCATCCATCCTTCATCAGCCAATATATGTGCCTTCCTCCAAATGTACAATTAAAACATATCAAGTACTTTTATCTGGATAATAGCAAGTCCCTTGGTTCATATCACTATGAATAGAACAAGGTATTTTTGCATTTAGTTTTTTTTAATAAAAGTACCAAATAACAAGTGGCATAAGTATTAGGACTCAATGCACTTATTAAAAGGAACAGAGGGTGAACAACCTCAAAAGATCTAATATAGGATATAAGGATTACGCTTTAATAATACAATATATTCAGGAGTTTTTGCTAAATGAATAGATTATAGTTACTCTTGACACAAAGGGAAAAATGCTAACTATGTGAGATTATAATATGTTAATCTATTCCACCATAGAAACTGTTTTATTACATATGTATGTAATATGTTGTATACATTAAATGTACACAATAGATTTTATTTTAAAATAAATAAATTTCTGCAAAACTGAAAGGCAAAAAAGGAACCCGATTGCTACTGGAGTACAGACCACTGAAGAGAACATAAGTAGTCAATATTCCTTTAAAATATACCCTCCTTCCCAGTCAAAAACTTAAGGAGGAGAACATTCATGTAAAACAGATGCATAGTTCAATCCATACTGACACAGAAGCTTTGGATATTATTTTAAACTCTATTTTAATTTTATTCATCAAGTATATCAAATTAGACAAATTAAAAACAAGACTTTGATTTTCTTCTAATATGAAACATCTCAATCATTGCTTTAAAAATATATTTAGAATATATATTCATGCCCCCTAAAACTACCTGTAACACTCAGGAGTTTTGTACTTCTTTAACGATTTCTTTACCTTGTAAGTAGTCATTCGGTGCTGAGCAATTGCAGTCAGTTTTTCTAGAAGGCCTCTCAATCGCTCCTGTGTTGCATGGGAGATCAAGTTGACAGCATCAGAGTTAAGTTCCGTAATGTCATGCTTTTTACCTGTGGAAGCAGAGAAAATCCATTACGTGTTTTAGTAGTGGCTGATAATTGAAATAATTAGCACAGCAGGTATTCTGTTCCCCCTGGAAGTCATACCCATTATGAATAAAGGTTTGGAGATTATGATTTTCCTGGTAAAGTCACAACTTCAAAGATCTTAGACATTACATTAATAAAACCTAGCCTGAAGCCTCAGAAAATATAGACATTGTTTCACTTAGCCTCTAGAATCATTCCCCTTGCAAGGTCATTTATAGGACAAAGTTAATAAGAACACAAATCAAGTCTAGTGTTCAGGGAGGAAAATGGTAACTGCAGAAATTAGTGCCGTATTCTGTTAATTTTAGTAATTAAAAAAATAGAAAATTACATTTTGCCCTATTTGACACTGTTAACAATTTATAACATTTATTTCAATGAATTCAGATTATGAATCTCTGTTAATGCCTGTCTACAAGACATACCAATATTCTTTTTGTCTATTATTAATTATGCTTATTTAGTACTAACTCATGTTTTGATAAATTGATCTAGTAATCAATTACAAGTTAAAAGGAGTTCACAGCCTCATCATTTCACCCACCTATTTAAATAACTTCTCTCTCACTAGATCGCTTTCCGTAAATAAACCAAAACTTCTTTTCTTCCTCTGCTAACTGGGAAGTTTCAAGAAAACAATTTACACCACAAAATCAGAGAAAACTCATTTATAAACTAACCTTATCAAAATTTAAATAGTATTGCTCAGGCACAGTGAAACCACCTGTATGAACAGATGCCCGAACCTGAAAATATAGGTAAGAGGGTAGTCTAATTTAAATGAATTTTAAAAGCACTACTATGATTGTTAATGTCAACACAGAAATTTTTGAAATCTTGTTTGATTTTCTATTCTAATTTATCTAAATATATGCTTATAATTTCATTAGAGGGTGAATAACTACAGCAGAAATATGCTGCAATTAAAAGTCAACAACTCCTTAATACACTCTTTGACATTATTATTATTATT